TTTAAACTTTAAAGTAACAGTTTCTCATCCCAAACCTCATTATCAGCTTGGAGACAGCCAGTCTGGCTTTCAGTAACAGCAACTGTTAAAGTTAACAATACAGCAATGTAGGTCAAACTAAGCAAGTGATTTAAAACAGTTGTGGCCAATACATTACAGAGGGAAACTCATTAAATTTGCAGATAACACCAAAATGACTCCTTGGTTGAGGATTCATATCAACTACGCTGGCCCCTTTCAGGGGCAATTCTTCTTCATTGTTGTGGACAGTCATTCCAAATGGCTAGAGGTCATTCCAGTGTCCACGACGACGACTGCCAGGACCATCCAGGTGTTGAGGGGGATCTTCGCCTCTCATGGGCTTCCAGATGTTCTTGTCTCTGACAACGGACCTCAATTCACCTCTTCGGACTTCCAGTCCTTCCTGAAAGCCAACATGATTCGTCATGCTACTTCGGCACCCTTTCATCCGGCTTCCAACGGCCAAGCTGAGAGCATGGTGCGCACCACCAAAGACGCCTTGAAGAGGCTCACTCATGGGAGCTGATTTTCTCCTTTGCCACCGCACCACACCTTGCACAGCTACAGGCAAGAGCCCAGCTGAATTCCGCTGGGGTCACTGTCTTATTACCAAATTAGACAGATTACACCCAGACCGGGTGGCTTCACAGGTGTCACAGCCGTGGGCACTGAAGAGATTGAAAGTTGGTGATCCAGTTTGGGCAAGAAACTATGGACCTGGACATCTTTGGGTGACAGCAGTGGTCTGCAAAGTCACGAGGCCACTGTCATACAAAGTGGCCTTGGAAGATGATCACATACTGCGTCGGCACATTGACCAGCTGCGATGGAGGCTACCTAGTCACCTTTCCGCTCCTGAGTCTGCTCTTGGGGGGGGGACCATGATCACGATCGTGGATCTCAGTCTCTTTGCGAAAGTGGGGGTTTGCACTCTCCAAACAGGGGTTTTGCCAACGAGGCGGCTCCTGACTCTGGCACTGGGTCCATGGGACATTGCACGCAATCAGCTTCTCATGCCACACGTACCTCAGACCTTGCGCCTATGGGACAGTGATCCCAACTGGGGTCTGTCGCTGATCCGGGGAATTCCACTCCACCAAGGAACTCTGGTTTGGGCTTACCGGAAAGAGCCAGCCAAAGTCAAATGGACAAAGGGTTGGGCCTACCAGAACAGGCCAGCCAGCAAGATCCGGGTTCACCTGCATCAAACGGGTCTCAAAGTTCCGGTCTGCAGAGCCTGGCAGGCGAGCTTGCAGACTGGGCGCTTGCAGCAGCTCCGAGACGATCGGAGTGGGCCAGAGGCCCTCCGAAGTTCCTACAAGATTATGTGAGGTTCATGTCAGTAAGCGGGCAGGCCTAGTTTTTCTTAGAAATCAGAACACGCTCAAAAGTGTATTGTAATATTGTAAAGTATTAAGTATTGTTATGGAGAGTGACATTGTAGTAGTTTAAAATAGTAAGTATCTATTTTTTTTGAACCAAGAGGGGAGGGGTGTTATGTCCTGGGCCTGTGATTGACAGAGCAGGTGCAGGAATGTGCAGTGAGACCCAGGCAGACCATGTGGCCTGCCCAGGCAAAACAGGCTGTCTCCAGCCTATTGAGCATGCACAGAGCGGGAAAATACATTGCATTTATTGGCTGACGCTGTTCCCTGCAAAAGATATAAAAGGGATCAGTGCCATTTTGTGTTGTTCTGTTGAAGCTTAAATAAAGGAGCATCTGTTGTTACTTCTGCCTCGTTTCAATGTCTTATCAATGCAAAGAACAGAACACTAACAACGTTTATAAAGCAATGTTACCAACTTTCTGGTGTGGCACTTCTGGACGTAACTCTGCCAGCGTTCCAGATTGTTGGCTACCCAGCTGCTTAATTTGATCAAATAAAGTGCTGCTTGATCAAGAAGTCTCCACTTGGGTTATCTGATTAGACTGATATGGTATCTCAAGTTTAAGTAACGGACTGGGACCTTACATTTCTAAATTAAAACACAGCCCAAAAGAAAACAGTTAAATCGCTAATTACAGCTCTTCACATATTTTCTGAAAACCCTACCTTTATTGATGCTAGGAAGAACAAACCTTATTAAGGAACAGGAAGGGAATTGAAGACCCTCTTTCTAATCTGCCTTTTCTTTGAGCCTTTAGTTCTCATTATTTTATTATTATGTATTTAAGAAGATCAAAGGCCTCCATAGTTCAGGATACTCATCTTAAAATCAGAATCCAGAAAAATTTAGTTAATCCACAATACCGCTCTATGAAGAATGAAGTTAATCTTTGAGCCCTGAGAGCATGCAGCTGTCGTCAAAATGTTAGTGGCACACCTGTCAGCAACTGGAAGTGCATGAGTCCATGTACTTCCCTTTCCTGTCTCACAACTCAATCCATACATCCTTTAATTTTCAGACACATCTTTTTCTCACAGGTCCTTAAAAACCCCACATGGTATACTGTAATTAGCAGGAAAAATAAATCTAGCATTTCTGAATTCTTTCTCCAAGGGGGAAAGGAAAGTTCACAGCCTGCAGGTTGCTAGCAAAGTCATCAAAGAACGTAGTTATTGCTGCTAAAGGCAAGAATAAATAACGAATCAATTTTGCAGCTCTCTCCTGTTACTCCTGTTAACAATCCTCTTACCTCCAGAATGTGGCCTGTAATTGCACAAGGAGCTAGGCTAAAATCCGGTTGACTAGTTTGCAGCCAGGTGTTCGGTACAGACCTTGCCACTGTGATTTTAATAGCCCAGAAAGGGGTAGGAAAACCCGAAGAAAATTTTGCAATCAATAAACCATGATGGATTATGCTTGTTTTGCCCTATTTTGATTCTCCTCCCCAGCAGCAGCCCATCGATTTTAGAACTGCATGGCCACAAAGGTAGAGGCCTTTAGCCTCCCAATCCCTGCTTATAGAGGGATTTGCATTTTGGTCAGGGTCAGGCCATACGTCCCCAATCAAAGGAAAAATGAATCCAGCAGGCCAGAAGGCAGCCCAGCCACCACGCCCCACTGGTTTCTTCTCGGCTCCTGGGCCAGACGCAGTTACTGCTCCTCGCCATAGCCGGGGCTGGACTTGCAAGTACGTCCACCTGCTTTGTTCTGCAAAGCAGCACTCACCTGGCGCTCCTGCTCGCTGCCATGCCGGCAGCCCCAACTAAAGGCTGCGTGCTCCAGCCTCGCCCTGCCGAGGAAGGGTGCAACAGCCGAGGTTACATTCGATTTGCAGCTTGTCAAGGGCGCTCAAAGGCTGCCCAACTTTACTCTGGAATTTCAGGGTTAAAAAGTGGAGGGGCAGTGCCGCGTTTGCAGGCATGGCAGCACCTGCTGGAAAGCCTCCTGCTTCCCCCCCCCCTGCAGCATGGCGGCAAGCAGGAGTGCCGGGTGAGTGCCACTTTGCAGGAGAAAGCAGGCGGACCTATGCTGGCAGGCCCATCGGAATCAGGAAGGTTGCGAAGGAGGTAGTTGTGGGGGGCATGCAGACATACTTGCAAGTTCAGCCCCAGCTATGGAGAGGAGCAGCAACTAGTTCTGAGCCCTGGGGCTGAGAAGAAATCAGAGGGGCGCGGTGGCTGGGCTGCCTTTCTGGCCCGCTGGATTCAGGTTTTTCCTTTGATTGGGGGCTGGAATGGGCCGGTCTCTCGCTGTCTCCAGGGTGGCCTCGGGCCAAATGTAAACACCCCGTGGGCACCCCAGGCTGTGTCCTTCCAGAAGCGCCAGTCAGCTGGAGCCTGGCACGGATCCTGGGTTCTCAGCAGAGCCCCGGCAATACTGCGGCTCCATCTGGCTCTCCCATAGGCCTGTGCAACATTGCCATTGCTTCAGCTCATCCTCATGCTACAATTTTACACTTTTTTAACACCTTTTTTTACAGTGCTTTTCAACTCGTATGCGTATTATTTGCCAGGTGCCAACGTACCACTGGTGGTACGCTTACCACCAGTTGAAAAGCCCTGCTCTAAAGTACATAAAAGCAAGACAAAAAATATGGTAACCAGTGAATGGTAACCAATCAAGGAGAAAATCAAATTACAACTAAGGAGAAATTTCCTGACATTTAGAACAATTAATCAGTGGAATGACTTACTTCCAGAAATTGTGGGTGTTCCAACACTGGAGGTTTTTAAGAAGAGATTGGACAACCATTTGTTTGAAATAGTATTGGGGTTCCTGCTTAAGAAGATGATTGGACTAGAAGATTTCCAAGGTCCCTTCCAACTCTGTTATTCTGTTTAAAAAAATTAAGTAGCACTGAAGTATTGCTATTTATCCAAATTATATTGTGTGACAATACTCTGGGATGTTATATGCTTATGCTTTACAAGTCTGGATATTAGTTATAATTTGTAAACTTATATGGGAAGACAGTAATCTTTTTGTATCAACTTGCAAAATAAATTTGGTATTATAGAAATTTGGAGCAATCAATGCTGTGCATAAAATCAACCTCTCTTTCAGCAAAGTATGAGAAACCTGTCGCAAACATCATTTGCAAGCTGAATCTTGCAAATCGGAGACAAAGTCTTCGATTTCACACTACAAATGCTGACGTGTTATTTTGATTTGCATATAGACTCAATAAACTGTAATATACTAAACTTAATTGATTTATTTGCAAGAATGAACAGTTGAGACAACTGAGGATTCGTTTTTCAAAAATATTTTCAACGCTAGGCCAGACAATTACATTGCTATACTGTATTAGGAAGCCGGCTGGAGGGGGCGGGAGATGAAACTCTGAAATCCGAAGATGCGAGGACATAATTCGCCGGAGCAGGTAGCAGAGCGTTGTGACGACCTCCTATTCTGCCGACAAGGGGCAGCGAATGCCCGTTTCGACCTGCGAACACTTGCTAAATATGTTCGCACCGTCCAGCAGGGGCCGCCCTGGAATAGAGCGCGGGCGGCAGCCGCGAAGGACTGTAAGTGGCTGTAGGCGGCGGACGGAGACCTAGCGAGGGAGGCGTTTCGTTGCCGCAGTCCTAGCGAAAGAAAAAACGCGGTTCTTGAAGTGATCAGAGGAAGTGCTCACAATTCGGGTGATAGGATTTTTGCCCGCCTCTCTCAAAACCGCGCAAGAAAGCGACTGGGAAACCAGCAAGACCGTCTTGCCGTTCCAGGGCTTCGGCTCCAGCCAGTGGGTTGGCACGACCATGTCTCCTGAAGGTGGCCGGGCACCCTCCCTCCTTTGCTTGATTGTCATAGCGGCCGGTAAGGAAGCGGGAAGTGCAGTTTGTTAAAGAAAGTTTATCAGTTTAGCCGCTCGAGCGCAGAGTCTTATATTTAACTAATAGCAAGTGGCCTATGTTCGCACGACTCGCTTAAGGTTAACTTATTCGTGTTTTGCTTCAACTAGTTTTCTGCATTTTCACAACCCGGCGACGAGCCATAAATTACCGGCTGGTTTAGTTAGTGCATATCAGCTATTCTTAAATACAATTTGCTAATTTGTGGTTTAAGGCCGTCATGTAAACGCAGCTAGCGTGTCAGTGTTAAGTTGCAGCCTATTAGTAAGATCAAAGGCACCAATTCTGGCCAGGTCGGGATATAAATAGAGTTGATCAGAAGCTGAATGTGAGTCAGCAGTTCGATGCAGGCGAAAAAAAGAAAAGCTAATACTTAGGTTGAATTATGACCAACTTATTCTCGAAGTTATTTGAAATAATAGCTCCCCTGAAGACTCCTGCCGCACCGAGTGGGTGCAGTGCCGTGAGAGAAGATTGTACAAATAAATAAATAAATGAGAAGAAAGCATAAAGATGATCAGCCGCTAGGACAAAGCCTATAAGGTGAAACTGAAGTAGCCATGATCAAGTCTGGGGAGAGAAAAAGTAGAAAGATGAGGCTGGATGGCAGATATTCTGCCAATATTCGAAGCCTTTTGCACAGATCTGGCCAAAGAAGGCAAGATAGAGCGTTAGGGGGAAAATCACTTTATAGTGGTAGCAACTGTTCAGCGATGCCGCCAATTACCACAGGAGATGCATCTCTCTGCCTCCCCCCTCGATAAAACAGCCATCTGTTGGAAAAGTTGTATTTCTGGATTTCTTACATTAAATAGAGTACTACAGACTTGATGACCTAGAAAATTCTCATCCATTCTGTGGTTGTATAACATAAATGAATTTTTTGAAGCTGCTAGCCAAACATGGGTCATCTGAAGATCCTTTCAGTTGATTTATCTTATAAAAAACTGAAAATACTTCCACTCTTTTCATTTTTAAGCCTGCAAGTATAGATTTTTCAAGTGCAGTGATTGAGATCTGCGCTTCAAAATGAGTTGTGGTCCTAAGCATCATAAATATTGTAGTGGTATGAGGCGTTGAAATAGTTGGTTAGAAATACCAAGCAAATAGAATATGCTTTCCTAATGGAAATGCTAGAACTGAAGAGATAATATAAAATGAATATGCCACTTCAAGTTGTCTTCAAAGAGAGTGTGTGATGGGAGGGAGGGGGCAGAGCATTGAGGGCAAAGCTCTTCAAAGAAACAACACAAAGATATCAGAAGGTGGAAAAAATAAAGTTGGAGAAACCAAAACTTAACCATTCCAAACTACTTTCATAATGAGACAGGCAAGTAGTGTAGTAGAAAGCAGATCTAGATGATGAATTGAAGAATAAGTACAAGGATTCTCTGGTCTCCATTTAAAATAAATTATTGCTAAGAACTGACTCTAATATGGCAGGCTTTGTCTAATGGGTGTGTTACTGCAGGCATATATTTTAATCTATTCTTTATAAATCCAGATTAGTGTGTAGCAATTTAAAAGTTTTATATAATAAAACAATGCATTTTACTAATCATATGTATAGTCTAACATAATTGTAAAAACTATATAAACTTCTGAATATGTGTGAATATGTATTGAAGAGTCCATTCCACTACGGCACAGCAGTTGTGTTACTTATATTTCCACTAGCATTTTTTTCAATAAATGCACTCTGTGATGTGTACATACAGCTAGTTCTCAATTGGGGTCAAAACTTACGTTGCTAAGGAAATTATCATTAAGTGAATTAGATCTAATTTTACAACCTTTTTTTGCTATGGTTGCTAAACAAATCACATGGTTATTAAGTGAATCTGGCTTCCCCGTTCATTTGTTCATCAGAAGCCCCTTGGAAAGGTCACAAATAACAGCACAGTTGTTAAACAAATGGTTGTAAGTAGACGACTACCTGTATGTGAAACACAGCTTTCTTCTAGTTAACCACAAGTTAAGATAGGCAAGAAAATGATAAGTGAGCACCTGTCCAGCCTAGATGAGTTCAAATCACCAGGACCAGATGGATTACACCCCAAGGTTCTCAAGGAACTGGCAGATGTGATCTCAGAACCACTGAACTATATTTTTCAAAGATCTTGGAGCACTGGGGAACTACCAGAGGACTGGGAAAGAGCTAATGTAGTTCCCATCTTCAAAAAAGGGGAAAAAAATGGATCCAGGAAATTACAGACCTATCAGCCTGACCTCAATACCTGGGAAGATTCTGGAAAAGATAATCAAACAACGAATTAGCGAACACCTAGAGGCAAACAAAATCATTACTAAAGCCAACATGGGTTTGTCAAAAACAGATCATGCCAGACAAATCTTATTGCATTCTTTGACAAGATTGACAAAATTAGTAGACCAGAGGAATGCTGTGGATATAATTTAGTTGGACTCCAGTAAGGCATTTAATAAAGTAGATCACAATCTACTGCTCGTTAAGATAGAAAAAAGTGGGTTAGACAGCATCACCACCAGATGGATTCATAGCTGGCTGACCGGCCATACTCAGCGTGTGGTCCTCAATGGAACCGCATCTACATGGAGGGAAGTGTGTAGTGGGGTGCCCCAGGGCTCTGTTCTGGACCCAGTGTTCTTTAACATCTTCATCAACGATTTGGACGAGGGGATAGATGGGGAACTCATCAAATTTGCGGATGACACCAAGCTGGCAGGAATAGCCAACACTCCAGAAGACAGGCTTAAGATACAGGAGGACCTGGACAGACTTAAACACTGGGCACGATCTAACAAAATGAAATTCAATGGTGAAAAAAGTAAGGTTCTACATTTAGGCAAGAAAAACCAAATGTACAGGTATAGTATAGGGGGTACCTTGCTCAATAGTAGTAACTGTGAGAGGGATCTCAGAGTCCTAGTGGACAATCACTTAAATATGAGCCAGCAGTATGCTGCAGCTGCCAAAAAAGCCAACTCAGTGCTGGGCTGCATTAACAGAGGGATAGAATCAAGATCACGTGAAGTATTAATACCACTTTACAATGCCTTGGTAAAGCCACACTTGGAATACTGCATCCAGTTTTGGTCACCACGATGTAAAAAAGATGCTGAGACTCTAGAAAGAGTACAGAGAAGAGCAACAAAGATGATTAGGGGACTGGAGGCTAAAACCAGGGCTTTTTTTCTCATAGAATGCCCAGAACAGAGTTCCGGCACCTTTTTTGGATGGAACCTTATAGGGTAGGCAAGGCGGGTTGTATGACGTGTGTGAGTTCCGGCACCTTTTTTTTTTTTTTTTTTAGAAAAAAAGCACTGGCTAAAACATATGAAGAACGGCTGCTGGAATTGGGTATGTCTAGTTTAACGAAGAGAAGGACGAGGGGGGACATGATAGCAGTGTTCCACAAAGAAGAGGGAATCAAGCTATTCTCCAAAGCACCTGAAGGCAGGACAAGAAGCAACAGATGGAAACTAATCAAGGAGAGAAGCAACCTAGAACTAAGGAGAAACTTCCTGACAGTTAGAACAATGGAACAGCCTGCCTCCAGAAATGGTGAATGCTCCAACACTGGAAGTTTTTAAGAAGAGACTGGACAGCCATCTGTCCGAAATGGTGTAGGGTTTCCTGCCTGAGCAGGGGGTTGGACTCGATGACCTCCAAGGTCCCTTCCAACTATTATTATTATTATTATTATTATTATTATTATTATTATTATTATTATTATTATTATTATTATTATTATACTTGACAAATTCCTCATATATTACTACAATTTGAAGAGTTGAGCAAAATATCTGGAGAAAGCTATATCAATGGATAAAGAGTAGCTAGCTAATCAGGCTGATATGCATAGAATTGTATGAAACAGAGGTAGAAAAGCTCTCCCCATCCTATGCAAGTATGGCTGGAGAGATTGCATCTATGATAGCACAACATTATGTTAGGTGAGCATTAATCACCTATCTAATTGCTTAAGCTTTTCTTAATTGGGTTGTACTAGGGACATAGGCCTCTAGAAATAGGCAACCATCAGTCTTCACCACTTGATTGTGCTTGAACAATTTGGCCTACCTTTCTTTGCTTTTTAGTGAATTTGCATAATGTGAGTTTTGTTTATCATGAACAACCAAAGGAGCAGTCCTGGCTTTAAAGAAAGCTTGTTCAGGAACTTTGATTTCAGCAAGTGCTGAAACATTGTTTTGTGTGTGTTTTTTAAAAAAGAATGCAAATAACAACTAAGAATCCCAAAGTGTTCAGTTACTTTTTTTCACTCATACTGTTTTAATAAACAGTAATGAAGTGGGAAAGAGAATTGCAAGTAGCATAAAGGAAGTACTGTACATACTTTCATTTAGCGATCCCAATTGGGAAAGGCAACTTGGTTGTTAAGCGAAGCAATCACTAAGTAAAATTGCAGCTATGCTTATGATCTTATTTCAGCTTTCCTTTGCAAAAATTGTAAATGTGTCTTTTGGCTGTAAAGTTACTTTTTCATCATCACCATTGTAACTGCCAACAATTGTTAAACAAGGCAGTTGTAAAATGAAGTTTATACAACCTGTGTGTGGAAATTATCCAGAATGTAACTCCCATAATTGTGATTTTGATCTGGAAACAGAACTTTCCTCAGATCCTTGAGCAATGCTAGAGGAATTACTCTTGGATGTTAAGTACAATTAACTTAATAGTCAATATAGAAATTGATTGCTTTTAGTGTCACCATAATGGATTAAAGTACCCAATACTTTGAAAGTTTTTCCTTCCCCCTTAAGAAGTCATAGATTGTCAACGTGTTTTACTTAAAATATTCAGTAAATATTGGAAAATTGCTAATATTACAGCAGTGAATCAAAATGTTTGTCTAAGTACTAAAATAATTATTACAGTTTTCTTGATGCCAAGAATTGTCATTTTTTTAAATTCATGGCAAGTGCCTGTATAGCATGCACTATGCATGGCATGCCTATAATTCT